TTTTTTTTTTTTGGCTGCGATGGAAAGATAGGTTTTGAGAAGTGAAAGGTCGCCTCTTCAACAAAGAGAATGAAAGGTTAATGAATACATATAGCATTTAAGGCTAGGTAAATATACATCACCTCAACAACTAAATGAGGAAGCATGCAAATCGTCATTGTTTTTTAGGTGTAAAAGCAGACAATCAATCAACGCGGTGCGTAACTTATGCGAACAATATGCGAAGCATTTTCGATTTGGATATGTGGTGCAGACAATCAATCAATGCGGTGCGTAACGTATGCGAATAATATGCGAAGCACTTTCGATTTTGATATGCGGTGCAGACAATCAATCAATGCGGTCCACATGGATATGCGAAAAAAAATGGCGAATAGTCATAAATTATGCGGCTTTCGATTTGGATATACGATTCGTTAATCATGCGGTTGAAGATTAGGCAAATCATCCCAGTTGTGCGATTATCATGGGATATGATATGGGAATCGCACAATCAACCCAAGTGTGCGATTATTATGGGACATGTTATGCGAATCGCACAATGAACCTAATTGTGCGATTATTATGTTACATGTTATGCGAATCGCACAATCAACCTAATTGTGCGATTATTATGGGACATGTTATGCGAAACGCGCAATCAACTCAATTGTGCGATTATTATGGGACATGTGTGATGTGTGCAGGTCAACCCAATTCCGATTTCGATAATTGTACCTGGATTACGAACATTATTTGCTTCTCATTGACCTCTTTGTGTTCGTCGCCTGAGTCACCATTGTGCGTGTTGATTTGGTCATCATTATTGTCATCGTCACGAGAATGACCTGGTTGGTTCGAACAACCCGAGGTTTGATCATCAGCTCCCCGAGGATATCCAGTATGTGTAAATGAACTAGGGCCTGCTTGATGTGAATATGGGGCCTCGTGGGAAAATGCAGAACTACCAACACCAAAAGAACTCGGAAATACACCTTGGGACGCCATCATTTGCGTGAAGCTTTGTTGCGCCGTCCCCGGAATCCCTACATTTACTCGCTTCTCCAACTCCACGTAAATGTTGGGATTTTTTGTTCTTCAATCAGCTCTAAGATATCCTCACTGGATTCGATTTTCATCTTCACAACTCGTTCCCTTCCATCAAATACTGCCCACAATATGTACTCAAAATTACAAGGATCGGCCTTCAATAATGCTTGAGCACGAGAAACTACTTTAGAATATATTTATCGACCGTAATTTATTCTCATCAGCTCTGCCACTCCACCAAGATATGAACCCTCACAAAACGAACCACCAAAGTGCACCAATACTCTAACACGGTTGCTAGCCATTCAAATAAGTGAACAACAAAAAGAACTAAAAAAAAAAAAAAGAAACAGAAAAATGCAGTAGATGAATGGTGCAGACGTTAAATTGTTAGAGATCACTGTTTTTTTGCCTGCATGATAAATGCAGAGACCAAATCCTCACCTGTGAAAAAGCAGTCAATTAATGAGGTGCGCAACTTATGCGAAAGATCTGCGAATGAATTCCAAATAGTCGTAAAATTGTCAGGTCGATATGGCCCTGCGAAAAAATGGCGCATAATCGTCAAAAAAAAATATGTTTTATTCAATTTTGTTATGCGATTCTTAAATATGCGAGCGAAAAAATGTCACATAATTATTAATTATCCGGAGGATATATGCGAAATTATTTTGCATATTAGTAAATTATGCGATTGACTTGGATATGCAATTACCAGAAAATGTGTATTCAACAAACTATGCGAATTAGATGCGGAATATTTTCGCAGTCATAAATTTGTAAGGTTGATATAGCCCTGCGAAAAGAAGACGCATAATCATCGTAAATTATGCAGCAATCGATTTGTATATGCAATTATTAAAAATGCGAAAGATGTTAGCACATTTGTAAATTATGCGTTTGATGTGGATATGCGATTAAAAAAATGCGAAATGTTTACGTATAATCATAAATTATGCGGCCGATTAGATATACGCTGGTTCATTTGGACATGCGAGTGTAACATAGCAATAACATTTCGTGAATTTTGGGGTGTAAAAGAAGTTATTTGATGAAACAGTGTAAAAAAAATAGGGGGTAAAAAAAATTGACCCAATCTTTTTTGTGTATTTGTATTTGTATGATAAATACTACTTTTCCAAATTTAATTTAAGAACAGGTTTACTAGTCCTAGGTAGATGCTAAAATGATTTGGTTACATAAATTACAGTTTTAGCAATGAATTCTTCTGAAGAAGCTTCTATTCAACAAGTTTTAAGCAAATAAAACGAAATCACATAGCCAACTCTCGACGTAAATAATATGATGCTCAAGTTTTAAGCAGTCAGAACAAATGACACTCACATGAAGCCAAACAAAATTTACTATTGAAGAAATAAAATTGGTCAAGCAAATGAATCTAGGGTTCTCATAACTAAAGAACAAATAAACTACGATGCTCAACAAAAGATGAAAGGCAAAGCTGTTCTTCTATGCTTGCACCTCGACTTCAGTCGGCACAATAGCTGCTGGCCTAATGAATTCCTCTTCCTTCGGAGGGTGAATTGTGACGAGATCCGGAAGAGGAGTTGTGGGGCCTTGCTTCCCTTTGGGATCCCAGTCGAGCATGATCTTGACCTTGATACCAAGTACCCCCTGATAATTGTAATTAACAAAAAGTTAATTACATCTCCAAATCGTATTTTACTATTCGACACTTGCTTTATATACTAAATCCAAATTTAAAGAATTCTTTTGTTTTTATATATATTGTGTCGTCTAGTGCCCATCGTGTCATTTATCTATGTAATCGCTTTTTGTAATCGTGTTGTGTCATATTCGTGTTTCGAGTCGTGTCATCTATTGGCACACCTAATGAATATTGATATAAACACAAAATAGAGAAACAAAAAAACGCGAACCTGTCTGAGCAGGACGTGCCTAACAGCAGAGTCGATGTACTCTTTCACGGGCTGGCCAGAAGAAATCATGTACCCGTCCTTGAACTTCATGGCCTTGGCACGCTGGGCCCTCAGTTTGCCACTAACGATCACCTACATGCCAAACAAATTTAGTTGTAAATGGGACACAAAAAAAAATAAATAAATAAAGAAAACATACGATTCTTATGAATTGAAGTAGGTTCGTCACCATACCTCACATCCCTTGGCCCCATTTTCCATAACATACCTCAAAACACCATAGCAAGCCCTGAGGAAACATAATGAGAGTTAGATGACTTCACAATTACAAACTAGGCAATGCACAAACTAAGATATCCCATTCTTCACAATATACCGAATTAATTTATTTCACATACTCGGCATCCCAAACTGAAAGTAATGGTTTGCCAACTGTTTCATTATAAGAACCATAGCAAACAAAACATAGATAACAAGTGTAACAAAAAAAGAACTGAACCAAATGCATATGATACAAGAAACAAATTTGCAGCACATAAAACAGAGAGAAAATGCACTTTCTAGGTGAATGATCAATACCATAAGAACTCAATAGAAATTGTATTTCAAATACATGATTTTATTGATGTTTCTTCCTCATCGTCTCAAGATGACAACCAGCAGTCATAAAGATTATGAGATGGAATAAGAGTAGCTCTTGTCATCTTCCGACACAAACATTGGTATTTAAGGACCGGTGTTGCTTTATGGATGACTTAAATTTCGGACTAATGCATCCACATGGATAGGAAATAACAGCATGAACACAAGATATGGTTATCGATGTGTCTTCCTCATAGGCACAACATGACATCAATACAGTCATAAGGATTATAATATGGAGGAAGAGGGTTACTCTTGTAATCATCCAACACATACATTGGCATTGAAAGACCACTATTGCTTTATGGATGACTTAAAAATTCAGACTAATGCACAGTAATGGACCATACATGAGACTGGAAGCAGGACATCATTACACAGCTACAATTACATAGACCTAAATAGCTTTCAGAATGAAAATAGCCAAGATATTCACAACAACAGCATATCAATGTGATCCCATAAATAGATAATTGTGGTAAACAATCCATAGAAAAGTTTTATCTTCTATTTACACAAGTATAATAAGAGGAAACATATTGTTTCAAATAGAACAAAATAATGCCCTTCAAAATCAATAATTATTACAGGTTCTAATATTCAAATGCCTTCAAAAATCAATCATCCATGTGTCTTCCCCATGTTACAATATGACACCAATGCAGTCATACCATTATGACATGGTGGAGGACAGTTACTCTTGTCATCATCCGACACAAACATTGGTATTGAGTAACAATATTGCTATATTGATGACTAGAAATTTAAATCAATAAAAAGGAATTTGGCTATACAAGACAAATATAGTTGAATGGTTCTATATAACTTTTCAGCAAGTAATTCACAACAACAGCACCTCAATGTGGTACCATGGCCAGATTTGAGACACACTACAATTACACTACCAGTAATACAGAACTAGCACGAACAAGCATCAATATTAGTAACAAACACGCATCCAGCTTCACTAACCACAGTATATCAATCACTTGGAAAAGCCTTCATAATAATTAAGAATATACAAAATAAACCAGTCGGTGAATTGTAAAATAATGGGCATCACATAAATCCAGCACAACGTTATTCTGCAGGAAGTACAACTAAATGTTTTACCTTCTGACAGCAAGGCCACCAAGAAGTTTGTAACGAAGGGACTCGGCCTGGGCAATGGCGCAAAGACCCCTGTTGTTAACCTTCTCAGCATACAATTCCACGCTGTTCTCGGGAAACTTAAACCTCTTCTGCACCACAGAAGTGAGCTCCCTGATTCTCCTCCCTTTCTCACCTATTATTATCAAATAGAGTAAAAGCTACATAAACTCCATTTTGTACAATGTGGAGAAACAAAATTAATCTTTTCAACAAGTTTGCATTTTTCATGAAAAAATGAAAAAAAAAAATGTCAAAAACGCTAAACATTTAAGATAAAAATGCATTAGAATACACTCAAGAATCAAAACATATGTTATCAAGCATTCACCGAGAACATTCTGCGTGCGAGTAGCGCGGATGATAATCTCAGTCCTCACGGGAGTAACCCTGACCTCGACCCCAGAATATCCGTCCTCGGCCAGCTCACGAGTCAAAACCTCATTCAGCTCCGCAAAGAAAACCCCATCAGCAACAAACTGCAGCACATTCAATTCACGAAAAGAATCATCGCCTAGCTTTTGTTTAATGAGACATTGAGTAAAATAAACAGATTAGAAACCTTTCTCTTTTTGCTCATTTGAGTCGCCATTTTCGAGCTTATCACGACAGAAGCCGAGATCTGCAGATGAATGCGGTGTGGGGATTAGGATTAGGGTTTTGTTGGAGTGAGCCAGATCTGAATATGAATGCGTGGATTAGGGTTAAGCGGAGGTATATATATGTGGATTATTGGTTGGATTTGGTTAGTTTTTTTTT